CTCTCTCTCTCTCTCTCTCTCTCTCTCTCTCTCTCTCTCTCTCTCTTTCTCTCTCTCTCTCCCCTCCCTCTCTCTTTTCCTCTCCCTCCACCCCACCCCGGTAAAACAAAACAACTAGTTAGGTCATTATTTGTAAAAATATCACTTGAAGCCAACTAACCCAACAGTGAGGGGTGGTACTTGTCTAATTGAAGGCAGGATACTGAAGACTAGAACCCACTCCATTGCTTTCCCCCTCACCAATGCTGAGACTAAAAGACAACCCTATGGATGTTCCCCAGAGCTGAGAGAGGCCCAGAAGAAAGGGAGTGACATCCCTCACATGGCCATTGTTTATGGAAAGGATGATTACCTATGACTTTGACTCAAGATGTTGACTGCTTGTTCTGCGAAACAGAGAAAGACAACTCACCACGTATCACATGCTGTGCGGAATTGTGCCGAGTCTTCACAACACTGAGAACGTTCTCATGGTCAGCACTAGCGATCAGACAAGGGACCCCAACAGGGTAGACAAAGAGAGGGTATCTGCCTACTCAGCCACAGGGAGCAGCAGAGTGCTGGATTCAGAAAGGGTTGAACCAGGTTTCCTAAAATGCTAGTATTACCTGTAACGTGAGATTTCCCGTCCAAACCTAGGAACCTTGTGTTTTGGCAGCTGCAGAATGAAGATACTTAAGAACCCTATAATCCCCAGTAATTAATAGATGTAACAAAGTAGATAAGAGTTGAAGCATGAAAAGGTTTGAAAGAAGCAAACAGCTTCACTGTAGGAAGTTCACCCAGAGATATGCAGCCTGACTAATCCTGATCTGGCCCTGCCTTTGCCTGCTTTCCTTTCTCTTTCCAGCCCACAAAGAATGCAGTGCCCCACATCCTGTGATAGGCACCTGTGACCACATGTGACAAGGCTGACTCACCTCCCATGCTGCTGACATTCACCAGCCTCCCCTTGGATTTCCTGAGAAGAGGCAAAAATGCCTTCGTGACTCCTATGGGTCCAAAGAAGTTCACCTCCATGCATCTTTTGTACTCAATCATGGGGATGAGTTCCCCATCTGTTGGGAAGCCAAGGATCCCAGCATTGTTGACCAGAGCCCACAGTCCTGGGGACAGAAAAGAATAACTCTGAAGATGAGCAACACTGAAAAGCGTGTGTATTTGTAACACTTCAATCTCTGCAAGTTCACATACTTACCTTTGAGATTTAGAATCCAAGCAGATTACAAACTCTTGGACCTCAGACTCCATGAATACGTAAAACTATCTAGCATGGGGTATTGTGCAGATGATACATTTGAGATACTGAGATGATACATATTGAGTAATGGTTTTTTGAGGTTCATTCTTTTGCCTCAAAGCCCTTTCCTCCTTGCAGGATTCTAGATATCTGATGTATGTAACAAATAGAAGGTAGTAATAATCTTCACCTAACTTTGAAGTTACAAATGCCTCCCTTCTAGCCCCACTCAAAGGTGTGTAAAGACAGTATAATACCTTTATAACAATTCAGAATGATATAAAAATCTATCTTATCCCTTGGACTAGAAAAAGATTCCCTAGGCCAAGGAAAAGGGAAAAGTAGGAGGGAAATACCAAGCCCTGGGATAGTTGAGTGATAGCCTTTGAACGCTTCCCTCTGCCCCAGCCAGTTTGAACTGTGGAACCTGCCTGGGAGGATCACCAGGAAGGCTTGTTCAGACTCACCTCCAGCGTTCTTGAGCTGAGGTGTCAGGTGGGGCCTAAGAATCTGCATTTCGGACAGATTTCCCATGTGACAGTGATGGTGCAGGTATGGATCCCTACCCTCTTGGAGAACTGCTGGCCACCAGCAGCAATGTTCAGCCCTCACACACTGCACATTAGGAACACTGTGGAGATTTAAAGGCCCCCAACACCTAGGCCACATCCCAGCATATTAGGTCAGAATCTCTGGAAAGGGAAAGAAAGGGGGTGCAGGAATGAGAAGTTTTTATTTTGCATTATTTTATTTATTTTGGTACCGAGGATCAAAGTTGGGCCTTGTGCTTGTGAGGTAGGTGACGGCACCACTGAGCTAAATCCCTGGCCCACGAATGAGAAATTTTTAAAATTCCCTAGGTAGTTCCAAGGTACAACCAAACTTGGAAACCACTCTGTAAATGGTAGAAAAGAGGAAATACAATCAATTCAGGGAGTTTTTTTTTTGGAGGCAGGGGTGGCAGAAGTGACCTTGGACAAGCAGAGGGAATAGAACCTGAGGTGTGTGTAGCTAGACAGACCTGAACTGGAGCTCCTAGAGCCCCGACTGGTGTGGGACAGTGGTTCTCAGGCTGTGGCCCAAACAGCACCCACCTGCCTCGCAAGTGCAAGGTCTCAAGTTCAATCCCTAGTACCAAAAAAATAAAAGAAAAGAAAAAAGAAAGAAGGAAGGGAACTGCAAATCAGAAGGTGTGGTTGAGCCCCACACCTGTGATAGCTCGTGCCCCCATGATGTCAAGGCAAGTCCAGGGGCAAGAGCCTGCAGTACAGGAGCCAAAAGGGCCCAGGCTGAGAAAGAGGCATCTGCCCAACTGTGTCTATCTCATGGCAACAAGGTAGCAACGGCAGCCAACTTCCACGATGACTGCACATAGCGCTGGACATCTCTGCAGGGATCAGCAGGAATGCTGACCTTCAATGACCAACTACCCCATCGCCAGGAATGTAAATGCCACCCAGGGAAGTGACATAAGGTTCAAAATGCCTCAAATTGGTTTTGCCGTGTGACAGAAAGAAGGCTCCAAACATCTCGAGTTACAGAAGAGAGAAATACATTTCTTGCATACCTGATTTTGTGGTCTGACCTTTGCACACAGTAGAGATTGTGAACATTGAGTGAGATGATATCCAACCTATAGTAAGGAGCTCAACAGCTCTGGGGATGGGTGCTTGGAGAGGTCTCTTGCTAGGCAAGTGATGCTTTCAGTTGCTCAGCCCATGCACCCTTCGACCATTCACTGTGCAACTTGAGAACGTCCTACCATAGAAATCAGCAAGCTTTCTCCCTAAAAGGCCAGGTGATCAATATTTCAGCTCTGTAGGCCACACTGCCTCAGCCCTGCTATCACAGGATGAGCCAGTTCAGCGGCAGACCGTGTGTAAGTGAGAGGAAGGGCTGAGCTCCACTGGAATTTTACTTAGGATCATTGATATTTAACTGCCACATAACTTTCATGTGTCAAAAATATTCCTCTATTTTCTTTTGGCATTAAAAAGGTTAAAATCATTCTTAGTTCACAGGCAATACCAAGCCAAGTGACAGGCCTAGATTACATCCTTTAACCGAATTAAAGAGACAGAGAACCGGTTAGCCGTCGCCAGTCCTGAAGGGTGGGAACATGACCACGGAGAGCAGCGAGACAGAAAGCCCGGTGATAGAGGAACAGTTCTGTGTCTTGAATGTGGAGACGATTAACAAAGGTAGGCATGTTCTAGAATTGCACAGCTGTGCACACAGACACATAGACACGCAGGTGAGCAGATGTGAAGCCTAAGTCTCCTCTGTGAATAGCACCAATGATGTCGTATATGGAATACAAGACGTCAACACTGAGGAAGGCTGGGGCAGGGCACACGTGGTGGCCTTCTGTGTACCCTTGCAACTTCCCACAAATCTCTAATTTTTTCAATATAAAACATTCTGGGAAGGACCATAGTTTGCCAACCTTTGCCATAGAACTCTAGTGGGGTTCAGGGTGATGTTTCACTCATTTCACACAATAGGCACTGATCAGATCATGTAATTGGCATTCCCCTCTCTGTCATTTCCTTATGTTTGGAGCTCCTGTCTATAGATCGTTATAAAACAAAATAAAGCAGGCACTTTGTGTAAAGAGGGTGAAATGTGGAAGGGCCTGAGGCCTCCATTGAACATCCTCCAATGAATGCAGCAGAAAGCAGAACGAAGAAATAGAGGCAGATTCTAAGGACCTTGCTTAACTGCCTGGACCCAGCCATACCTGAAGCAGACAAGCCTTTTCAAGCACATGAGAAAATACATCCTTTTCTGCTTTAGTGATTTTGAATTAGGTTTCATTACGTGCATCTGAAAGAATCCTGATAGATGCACAGCTCTTGTTGGCAAGGAACCTAGTGGTAAAGAGTGGGGAGATGGGCAGATATTAACAACAGGGCAGCAAAACAGGTACAAGCAAGGTATAAAAACGAGCACCTAGAAGAGGAAGTGAATAAAACAACCTAGATTAATAGAAGGTGACAGGAGGTGTGAACCAGTCCTCCTGTGGGAGCAGAGTTTGCCACAAAGACTCAGTTGGATGAAACCAGTAAACTTAAAAAAAGGCAGTGGACACCAGGCAGAAGTTCAAGGAAGAGGAAACTGGATGTGCAGAGGTAGAACTATCACCTTATGTTCTGCAACCTCACCAGAATTTCCCAAGTGGGCCAGCAGGTACTGCAGATTAAGGGCTTGGCATGTCCTGCAGCCCTTGTGGAGCCTTTGGATGGTATCTGGGGGCAGCTCGGGAGCCACAGAGCCAGAGCAAGTCACCGTGCACAGGTCTGGCGTACGGGAGGACCTCAGCGCATGGAGGGACTGTACGCCCAGGGGTCTTCAGGAGATGGATGGCACTGTAAGATGTATACACTGGGGAGGTTACTGTGCATTTGGAAAGTACTGGGAAGGAAGGGCAGATTTCATCATGGATGCTGGAGCGCCCACACAGGAGACAATGAAACCTGGAATAAGCCACCACCTCTAGCAGATGGCAGGAAGGGGCTGGATGCTCAATATCTAGGAGGAACACTTCACAGAGCTCACAGCTAAAAGGATACAGGTACCAAGGGCAGGCTGGGGGTCTCAGTGGTCCCCTGGTGGTTGGCTGGATGACTGGCTAGGTGGCAGCTCCAGCATGTGATCTCTGGGGCACAGGAGGGCAAACTGCTTTGCCGTCTGACTGGTGTCAGGGGGAAAGATAAGGAAACCAACTTGTGACAAGTTGACTTTGAACCTCTGAGATATATGTGGAAATGTCTGGCAGGCTATTTTATATGAAGGGTAGTACTGATTTAATGTAATTGTAAAGTTAATCTAGGGTGGAACAAAGGGTGTTGGACAGGTCTGGATGTCAGGAAGAAAGGCTGGGTTAGCAGTATAGCTTTGAAAGCCATTGGGGTAAACTAGGATTTCTCAAGCTCAGTAGAAATGAGCACCTCTCCTGATGTCTGAGACCACTCCTAAGGACACTCTCTAACTGGTCTTGGGCATGAGGGCCCCGATAGCCCCTGGGAGTGTGGGATCTAGACAGTCACACAGGGCCAGGAGTTGAGGAACTCATACTTGGTTAACTCTCTGCGGTTCACCATCTTCCATTCTTAACTATTTCTTGAGCAAGGGGTCCACCTTTTTATTTTTACTGGGTCCCACACGTGCCAAGCCCATGCATTAGTGTTCCTGAAGCCTTGCTGGGTGATTCCACCACACAGCAGGATGGAGAACTCCTGTATGGCTCAGGGAATGAGGCCTGGGAAACTGGGGGACAGAGCCTCAGAAGTCGCTACATTTTGTTGGGATATGGAGGAAGGGGATTATCCAGGGTAAGCAGAAAGAATGATCAGAGAGCTGGGACGGGGCAGGGTAGGGACCCCAAGGCCGAGGCAAGGAGCATCATCAACATGTTTTCGTGATACAGACAAAACAAGATCCTGGTCCTCAGGATGATAGCATCTCATTTTGCCAGACCAGTTAGAAAGGCATGCCGAAAGCCACTGTCAAGACAGGAAAAAGTAAAACAAGACAACGGGGCTCCGAAGAATTCAGCCTTGAAAGGAAAGGAGAAAGGGCAGCGGGGAGAGGAGGTAGGGGATAATGAAGCTGTTTGTTTCCAAGCTGGGGGAATCTAAGGCATGTTATTGTGGAGGGCAGCAATGAAGGGAGAGTGGGAGAGTGGCCCAGGAGGAACGGATGGAGATTCTGCAAGTTCTCTGAGGACAGGACCTGTGTCAGAGTCACTCCTAAGGTCTTGGTGTCCACAGGAGCCCCGGGACATGGAAAGGGGTCAGTACAGACATCCCCAGGCAGCAGCCACAGTGGAACACGGGGCTTGGTCGTCAGAGGTTGGAACAAGAGAGGTTGGAAAAACAGTTGAGCATTGGTAAGAAAGGCAGAGAGCAACGGAGGATACGGGGTGGGGGCGGAAGTACCTTTGTCCTGCACCTTCTCTACCACTTTGCTATAAGCATCTTTTATCTGTTCCGGGTCGGTGATGTCCATCTGAAGCACAGTGATGCGCTTGGAGCAGTTGCTTCGCAACGCCTCAGCTCCTGAGCTCTTTTCGTTCAAAACTCCAGCAAACACTGTGAAGCCCATCTTGTCCAAGTTCTTTGCCAATGCATGGCCAAACCCAGAATCACAACCTGCAAAGAGGTAAGGCAAGAGAACATGAGTGTAAACCCAAGTGACAGGAGAAGTTTCCGAATCAGGAACTCATACGCTGTTGATGACTGTCCGTGCTCTCCGAAGAGAAGAGGCATGAGGAAGTTTCTTTGTTTGCCAAAAAAGGAGATGGGCAGAGGTAACTTTCTCTGTAGGAAAGTTGAGTAAAATTGACTGGGTGGAAGGAGAAAAGCCAGAGGGACCAGTGCTCCAAGAGGGGCTGGCAGCCAAAGAAAATTGTGGGCAGAAAACCAATGTGTTATAACATTTTCCACTGTTGCTACAAGAAAGTATTTATGTTTCTTGTATAATTTCTTTTGTTAAAGGCTATGGTGATTGGAATGGAGATTGGCTGGGCCTGCAAATGAAGGAAAGAGGGAGAGAGGGGCCAGCATTCCTGGGGTTTTCCAGTGCTGCTCAAAAGGGCCAGCAGCAGACAACACATAGTCACATAGTGCAGTAGTCTGATGTGCAGCATGAGGACAGAGGGAGACATCTTCTGTAAAACCTGTGTCAGGACTTTCAGAATTTGAGGTGAGAGCTTACCCTCATCCAGTCTGGAGGGTATTAGGGACCCTGGAAAAAGTATTTTGCAACCACAAACTGCAAGACACAGCTATCTGAAATTCTGAAACTGAAAAACAATATGGATAGAAAGCCACCCTCCCAGCCACAGCACAATAAACACGTGACAGGTAGAGTGTCCCTAAAGTCATAACAGCAAGCACCTTACTCCACACGGCTGTGTCATGTGACTCTTCCTGAAGCCTTGCAGGTTGTCTTGTGTCAGATATCAGGGGCTGTAGCCAGGCACCCCCTTAACACTGATTCCCTCTACCTGTGGCCCACAAGGAAGGCTGAAAATTCACCTGAAAACAGCTAGTTTAGAGCCTGCTTGTTGGAAAAGCCAGCCCTGCAGCCAGGGTCCACAGGCTGTGGGTGGTGATTCGAGGCTGCATGGAGCCTCTCCTGCACGTGATGCGGCACACCTCGAGCCTCTGCCGTGGTGTTGGCATGGCTGGGTATGTGCTTCCGCGGGCCCACATAACGTACAAGGCAAGACTGAGACATGGTGAATGCTTACGGTTTAAGAAAATCATTACAGTTAAGGATACATTGCCTTTAATCCCCCTAATATCACCCACCTTGCTTCCAACATACATGTCCCGCCATTCTTGCCACTCGAAGCAATTCTGAAAAATCCTCTTTTGGGAGTCTCTTTAATTGTTCTGTCATGGCTGCCTTGATGTCCTTAATAAATTCAAGATACTTACCTTTCATAGTCATTTAGACTTTGGGAAAGAACCAGAAGACACACGGTGCCTGATCCAGGGCCTAAGATGGATGAAGTGCTTTCACAAGCCTGTCTCTCTGTTGGATGGTACTTGGCGGCGGCAGTCCTTGTATTCTTAATTATACCTTGTAAAGAAACTGACAAAGGAAGATTTCCAGAACTGCTTCAGAAAGTGGCAACAGCGATGGGATGAGGGTGTTCAAGGTGAGGGAGAGCAATTAGAGGGGAATTAATGGCAATGTATCTTTTATTATAATTTTTCAGATTTAAACTTCATCATATATTTAGATCACACCTCTTATTTTGTGACAATTCCAACCAAAGATGTGAATCAAGAGATTTTGCCTGAAAGTACAGATCAATGGCTTCTCTGCATGAACCAAGGGATGGGTCAACTCCAAATCTTCATTCCTAAGAGGAACTCGTCAGTGGCGGCTGAGGACCCCACTGGCAGCCCCACCTGGGAAGCCAGGCTCACTGTCCCACCCTGTACCCATGTGTGTCTATTCTCCAGCAGCCCTCACTGATGAGACTTGCCCAGCACTATAAGCTTTGGAGCTGAGACACTGGGAACATTGTCCTACTCACAAAGATCATCTGGATCCAGAGATTTTGTCCATTTGGAAGCCTGCAGGAAACTAATGGGTAAAGCCTTTCCCTTCCCTTTGGTTTAAGACTTAGGGAATCCATTCAACTGGCACCCTAGTGTTGACATTGTCCGTTCCCTACAGAATTGTTTAAGGTATAACAAGCTGGTAGATGAATAATATAAACCAGTGCATTCAAGGCTTTCCTAAGACTCAACAGGGATCAGCTCCTGCTCCAAGAAGAGCAGTAGTTGACACCTCACCACCCTTATTTGTAGCGCTCTTAGGAGATACTGTTGAATGGAGAGATCCTGTGAAATAGCTAGATCCTTCATATCTACTTTTCAGTGGAAACCAAGGCATGTTTTCCTGCAACATAACATTTATGAATAATTCTCCCATAATCTTGTTTTTCCTGTGTTAACATAGGCAACTGAGATGCCAGGAAATTACATGGTGGGAATGTGCCAGACAGTCAAATCCAGATTGGCTCTTTCTGAGTAGAAACTTTTTTTTTTTTTGGTACCGGGGATCGAGCTCAAGACCTTGCACTAGCTAGGCAGGTGGTGGAGCCACTGAGCTAAATCCCGGGCCCCTAGATTGGCTCTTTCTGAGGCTCTTTCTTTTACTGCTCTGATTCATGGTCCCCTTAAGTACCTGAGCAGGCCTGGAGGTACAGAGGACCGTAACACTGATTATGCCCAAGGCAGGCTGTGAGGAGTGAGCCCCACAGCTCGCTTCTTTATAGAAGGGAGTCTGGCTGAAGCTTATGTGCCGAGGTCAGAGTAACTCACACCCAGATTCCCTTCCCACAACTAAAACCTTCAGGCTAGAAGGACAGTGTTCTAATTACAACCATATATTTTTGTCTGTTCTGTTCCTAATTCTAGAATGCTTTGTCTTGTCCTTTATGAGCCTTGTTTACATTAATTTCCATAGAAACCATATATTGCCTTTACCCCAACTGATCTCCAATAAAAGTCAGTCCCTGGGACAGGCCAGTGCCTTTGTCGGTTGCAACAACATTGGTCATCCTGGCACCCTGCTTTCTCTCTCCTAGTCCTACCTCTTAGTGTATTTTTTTCTCAGGCATGTGTCACCCACTGGGCAGATGGGAGCTAGAGATTTACTTTGGTAGTCTCTGGCAGTGAAGACCAGAGATGTCAGCTCCCTGTACCAGAGCATGGGAGGCTGGACTCCCCTCAGCTAGGTAACAAACCAGACTCTCTACACCTGCTCTTCCAGAAGGAAAAAAGCAACAGATTTGTGGTCGATGATAGGTGAGGGAACAGCTGTAAGTCTTGCCACAAACTAAGCAATCAAAGTGGCCTGACTGGATTTGGGCAGCTGAATGGTGCTATGGTTGGAAACTGCAATGTTCCCCGAAAGCCCATGTGTCAAAGATTTGGCCCCCAGACCTTGGTGCTACCAGGAGGTGTGGAAATGTAAGAGGTGAGGCCTAGAGGGATGCTTTCGAGACACTGGGGTCATAACCTTGGAGGGGATTGTGAAGCCCTGGCCCTTCTTTCCTGACCCTTCCTGTCATTCTCGGCCATGAGCTGAGGAGGTAGTTTGCTCTGCCATGCACCCCACCACCGAGGGCTGCCACAGGCCTAAAGCCACAGGGCCAGGCAGCGATGAAAGCTCCTTATAGGTTGATTATCTCACTTGTTTTTGATATCTTTGATACTTTTAAAGAGTACTGATAAGTTTTATATAATGTCCTTCTATAGGAAACTGATGCTTTTCTGATGATTGCACTGGGGGAAGATGATCACAGCAATGAAGCGATCACATCGGACACTAAGAATTCCTATTGTTGGCGTGATTTATGTCTATTGATGTTGACCTTGGTCACTTGAATGAAGAAGTGTTTATCATGTTTCTGCACTGCACAGTTACTCCCCTGCCCTTTCCCACCCTGTACACATGGGAAGGAACTAAAAAATGCAGCCTACACTTCAGGACTGAGGAGTCATTTTCCACTTCCCTTGGGGGAGAGAATCTACATTAATTACTTGGAATTCTGCATGGGAGATCTGTCTTCTCCCTCACTTACTGACTGATTCGGTCCCTTATTTACATCACTATGGGCTTGTGGATATTTGTTTCGTATTTTGGATTATAATCCAAACTACTTAAATTTAGTACTCAAGCTTTAGCCATTTGTCTCCCTTGAAAATGTTATCTTTTAATTTAAAAAAAAAAGATTCAGGCTTAGGAAAACTACTGGGCAGGACTCGTCTTGGTAAATAAAGGAGCAGCTGCCTGGAAAAAAAGGGAAGAATGACAGAGGTGGACCCATGACCTGGCCTCAACGAGCTTCGTGTCTCGTGGGAAATTCAGTCCATGGCCAGCCTTATCTGCCAAATTTATCTTTGGTTATGCCTGTATTTCTTGTCTTATTTTTCAATCTCCACTGCTTGTTTTTAATTTAAGAGAATGAAAAGTGGTGATTCTAGGATTCTCCCTTATCTTTCCAATAGACTCTGCACAAGGTGTGTCCATCTTTACCTTTTTGAACTGTGCGCCTCCCCACCTTGAATGCTTTCTGCTTTCACTTTTCCCTGCAGTGCAGGTCAGGTTGGAGTTTCTGGTGTGTTCAGGCTATCCAGGCTCCTTCTGTTGACTTTTTTTTTTTTTTTTTT